ATTCCTTCTTTGTCAATTCGACACAGGCTAAAGGTAGACTTCGTGTAGTCAATGTTTTGGCGTCAGACCCCATTGCATTGCTTAATTTGTATTTTAAACGGTTTTTTAATTTCTTGATTTAAAAAAATATATATGGCTGATGATTGCCGCCAGGCATAAAACTCTGAGCACCAACAAAAAGTTGTATTTTTTTCATTTTAATACTACTTTAAAAACTTTCAAATTATATATATATATATATATATATATATATATATATATATATATATATATATATATATATATATATATATATATATATATATATATATATATATATATATATATTATTTTTCCCGTCCCTTTCCCGTTCCAGTGAAGGAAGCGGATGAGTGGAAACTCAACTTTACGCTTTATCAGTCAATTGTTGCTAACTAACTTATATGTATATTTAACTATTGTGTTTATAAAAACAAGTGACTTAGTAATTTGATTATTTTTTAATGTAATTAATATTATATTTGTTATTGTTGTTGTTTGTTTTATTATTATTGTGGTTCTTATGTTTATTACTATAAATATTATTTTTATAATTATAATTATTATTCTTATAATTATTACTAATTATATATATAAAGATCTATATTTTTGGTGTTTACTTAATATTAGTAGAATTACTATTTGTAAATATCCATGAAATTATTTTTCAGAATATATATATGATGATGATATATATATATATATATATATATATATATATATATATATATATATATATATATATATATATATATATGATTTAAAGGATAACATCTTGTGTGAGAGTATATTTATATATTATTTTAAAACATCAAAAATACGATTTCTCTCAACACTTATAATTTTTTTATTAGGGGAAAGCGGGGCAATATGGCGAATAGGGCAAGATGGGTTTTCGTATAACAACTCAACAAAAAATCTTAAAATTTGGTGAAAACAAAACTGTATTTGCGTCTTATATTTTAAAACACCAATTGGTTTTTTGAAATATTATTAACGCAATTTTATACGCATAAGTTTACTTTTTGCGCTTAAAAAAAAATTCCTCACTTTCGATTTCTCATAATGGATGGTGTCCTTCAAGTTTAACTTCTTTAGAAGTAGTTTTTTGCAATTTGTATATATTTTTTGTTACTTTAGTAAAATTTATCGGTAGTTTTGAAATTTTATAAAATTGGAGGTAAAAATTGCATAATAAGTCATCTTGCCCCGGTCACGTGACGAGATGGCAAATTTATGAACTTTTTATTTTAATATTTATTTCAAATTATTAGATTTGCAAAGTGAAAATTTATGCAGGCAATGAATCATTCTAATAACATAAACATACTGAGAAAGTATTATTGATTCACGACTTATAGTTTTGCAATAACTCAGGCCTTTCAAAACATTCGCCATGTTGCCCCACTCTACCCTATTATAGAAATTTCCGCTGGATTTTAGATACCAGCTTCTTCAGCTTGTTAAATGTTACAGTAATTAGTAAACCGTTATAATTTAAATTAAAACGTTGCTATTGACGTCAGCGGTTGAATGGCTTCTTTTTTGCTGAAATTTAAAAAATGGCGTCCAAAACTTAGTTTTTACGTATTGACCCTCATCGAGATTAATCCCGCCATTTTTTGCAGAACACATGTTTTTTTGTATTTCTAGGGCTTCCCTAACTTTTTTTTCAAATTTTTTATTTTCTACTTTCAATGTTTTTGTTTGTTCTCAAATAATTTCTTTTTTGCAAAATGCAGAGCTAATCGACGTGTGATGCTGCTTATTTTCATCAATGCTTTTTTGGTGTTGATGCATTCGTGTGTTTACTTTCATTTTTTTTTTGCCTACATACACTTTTGAACAGATGCATTTGATTATATATGTTCCTGGTTGACTGTTATTAGGTAATTTTGATTTATTTTTTGATGTTAAACAGGGATCTTAAGTTTGGGTTTGATTTGAATACCGCTCTGTAACCAGCTTTTCGGAATATTTTCCTAAGTTTTGGCGAGAGACCGGGTACCCATGGTAAGGAAACTACAGGATAATTATTGATTTCAGATGGAATTGTAATTTTATTTTGTCTTTTGTGTTGAAACTGATGCGCAATATTCATTATTTGAGTTTTATCGTAACCATTTTCAATAAACACGTCGATTAGAAAATTTATTTCATTTTGCAAGTAAGACTTACTACAGATTGAGTAAGCTCGGTGGAGAAATCCTTTAAAATAGAGTTCAAGATATTTGGATCATGATTTGAGTGTGGTTTATTTTGAATGTTAGTGATAGCATCTTTCCGATATACTCCGTATTCATACTTTCCTGTTTTTTTATTCATAATTTGTATATCCAGATAATTTAGTGTTCCTAACTCGTTTTCAACTTCAATTGTATACTGGATGGAAGGATGTTGTTGATTTAAAATGTATTGGAAATGTTTTGCTTGGTTGAGATCTGGAAACCTTGCGTGACTATCATCGAGATATCTTAAGAACGATTTGAGGTTAAGTGCAGGGTTGAAATTTAGTGCAATTTTAATTGCATTGTTTTTATGGAATTGTAGAAATGATTCTGCAAGAACGACCATGAACGAAAGTCCAATTGGACCCGAGTTTTTCATTATATGAATTTCATTGTTCCAATGAAAATAACATTGAAATAAACAAAGTTCTATAAGTTGTTTTATTTCAGGTATACTTAGTCTTGTTAATTTTTTATATGTTGTATTATTATTTAATTTTTCTATAAGTACAAGGGTGGCTTCTTTTAAAGGAACCGACGGATACAGATTTACGACATCAAAAGATACCTGAACTTCATCGTTGTCAATTTTCCAAGATTCAGCTTTTTTAATAAAGTCAAAGGAATTTTTTAATCTTGTCAAGTTTTCATTCAAAACTGGTTGTATTATCTTAACTAAGAACTCAGATATTCCGTAGTTTGCTGTGCCGATTGTGGAGATAATTATTCTCATAGGATAGAATTTTTCAGGTTTGTGGGCTTCGATTACACCATACATACGAGGCGGGATGGGATCACTAGGATATATTTTTTCGTATTCGTCTTTTGAAAAACAGTTTCTTTTATTTAGTTTTGAAAGATATCTACGAATTTTAGCCGCGTAGTTTGCAGTAGGGTCTTCTTTTACTATTTTTGTTGGGCTTATTTGTTCGCGAATTTTTTCCAAGGCTTTTGAATGTTCGATTCGTACAAAACCTGTCCCTTTGTCGAATGGATACATGTCAACGTTTTTTTCCTCTTTTATTTCTCTATAAGCTTTCCATTGTTCTTTTGTAATATAGATATATAATGTAAGATATATAATGTAAGATAAATGTAATATAACTGATAAATGTAAGATAACGTCATTGCTCAAAATCATTATGGCTTAACTAAGAATTAATTTTTTTTTATGACTTTTTTATGACTTTTCATTTAACAAGCTGAAGATGCTGGTATCTAAAATCCTGCGAAAATTTCTATAATGATAAAAAAATTATAAGTGTTGAGAGAAATCGTATTTTTGATGTTTTAAAATAATATATATATATATATATATATATATATATATATATATATATATATATATATATATATATATATATATATATATATATATATACATATACATATTTTGTATACTTTGAATAATGTTTTTTGTATAATAATGTACAAAAAAACTCTTGTTCGTTTAAAAGTGATCAATATTATAAAAAAGAGATTTTTATAATAGATCTAATATAATTAATTGGTAAAGCAGTAAAGCTTTAAAAATTCTCTTTTTACATAAAATACGTGAATCTCTCGCATTATTCTAAAGATTAACTACCTTACCAACTAAACAATAAAATAAAAATGTTCTGGCTCAGAACTCAGAGGTCCGAGGTTCGATGCCAGCTCTAGCCCAACAAGCGACATTGTTACGGAAGGAGGCGTAAACTTCCTGTTAAATGCTCACTTGCGGTGCTCTATGATAAGACCGTAAGGACTTCTGGGAGCACTTAAATACATACAAAAAAAAAAAAAAAATATATATATAATATCAGTAGCAACATAAGTAAAAAATAAGTATGATAGAAAGTCGCTATTTGTGGGGAAGAGTGGGGTATTGGCGAACAGCAAAGCCATTTAAAGACAACTGTTATACGAAACTGATCATATTTATTGTTTATCAATTAGTCTAACTATTCAGTTACAAACCCTCAAAAGCAATTTTTGTAAATCTTGTTATAAAATAAAAATTTAGGTCAAAAATAAAACCATTGAGGTTCGGAATTACCCTACATACGTGGGTTAATTCTGAACACACCGTGGGTAATCACAAACACTGTTGCCTATTAAATAATAAAATGCTTATTATAATATTTAAGTGCAAAAGTTATACTATAAAACGACATCAACAAATGGGGTAAATTTATATTCATGGTAGCTACACCAGGAATGTTACTCAAGAAGTTATAAAAAAAATTAGGATCAAATTATCGCGAACAACAACCGCAGCTTCATTACACTGTTGCACATCTGGAACTGAGCACGGTCACTGTATTTAATATTAGCAAAGTCATCATTAAAGACAAGCAAAAATTGCCCCTAACTTAAAGCGCGGCTTTCTAGGTTGCATTCGGAATCCTTGCATTAAATCTTTTTTTTTAATTTTGATGTTTTGTTTCAATGTTGCTTTTATGTTGTTTTTTTTTAATTATTGTTATTGTTAAACTGGAGTTTTGTTCATTATTTGCTTTTATTTTTCAGAGTATCATAGAATAAATGCATCTATACGCACATAAATTGAAGGAGTCGCAATTGGTGTACATACATCGACTGACTTAAATAGAGATGAGCGCTGTAGATTTTACATTCATCGCCTGAGGATTTAGGTTTGAACAGGCATTCTTTTAAAGAAAAGAAAAATCAATAAAATGTCAATATTTATTTGAATATGGTTTATATACTATTATAATTATTTATATATTAACAGTTTATTTCAAAAAATTATTAAACTAAATTGAACTAGTTTTCCAGGTAAAATAGTCAAAAAAGTATTTAATAACTCATGTTTAAATACGCGCGGTACAAATAAGAAAAAATTAGTTTTACGCGAATACAATTAATTCTTATTTTTATGATATATTGTTATTACATTTTTTTTTTTTAATGCCTGGGCTTATTATATACCTATAAATAAAAAAATATTATATTTGCTTATAATTATAATTCTGCATGTAAAACATTATTATTTAGAATATAAACAATTGGCAGTTTGCGCATCTGCGTTTTATTTTACCGTGTATGCATTTTTCTTCTTCACGTCTTGCAAGTCCTGCTACTACAGCATTACTTACCGGTCCTGCTACTGCAACATTATTTGTGGGAGCTACCTTGTTTTTTTCTAGCATTGTCTTCTTATTTACGAGTTTAATATTTTCCATCTAAAATTGAAAAAATAAAAATAAATCTTTTGAAATAATAAAAATTAAAGAAATCTCAAATTTAAATGTAACATAATTAAAAATTTATTTTTACGACTGTATGATTCATGATCAGGTAAAGATGTAATTTTCTTTCGAGAAAATATTTCTGTATTAAAGAAACTCATCCGAAAAAATTTTTTTCGTTTAATGTTACCTTAACGGGGATTTTTTTTTAAATATTTTTATTATCTAGCTAGCTACCATTCTAATGTCTTGAAATCGTCCATCTACAATAAACCTCCAGTTATTCAAACCTCCGAGGGGAACAAGAATTGTGAATTAAATATTTCGAAAATTTTCTTTAAAGTGACTTTTTGAAAAAAAGACTATTTTTGATTGCTTTTTTGCTTAAAGAATGTTTATCAAACATCTTTGATACAAGGCTTAGTGATTGAAGGACTTCGACGCCGGCGTTTTCAAAGAGACCAACATTCAATTAACTCTATTGCACGTACAATCACTAATAATTTTGGCTTATCGGAGACAAATTGGTTAGCTTTTCATCTCTGACCTCATTTACCTCAGCACAACCCTTGATTAAAATAGTATCAAGAATTTTGCAATCTGTGATAGCGATTGCTTCGCCTGTATAAATTTTAAACTTTTAAATGTTTACGTATTCTTCAACAGAAAAATCTTTGTCTACAAAACCAAGATATCTAAGCTTTTTGACATTCACTTGAGGCAATTCGGAAAGATAATCTTTATTATTTATACTTTGCCTTTTTAAAATAATTCATTACAGTGTTGTAAGTATCCCTCAATTTATACCTTAAGAGGATCGTGGGCAAATGGGTTAGCTCCTTACTTGATGTCTTTTTCTCTGTACAGGACCTTTCCTCCTTAGAAATAATTCAAAAAATAACGTTATGTCAATTTTTCCATTGATCAAGCCACCCTTCTGAAGCGTTAAAATCCACAATGTTGAGTTCTTTTAGGTAAACTTATATTTAAGTATTATTTACATTATCTAAAATTTAAAACTCCCGTCTCTGCTCCAAATTGAACAGAATCATATTTGCTGATTATGTCATCTTTATGCTTAATCCAGTATGTTAACGTGTTTTGAGGAACACTGAACTTTTTGGTAATATTTCATTTATTTGGTCCTTTTTCTTAATTTTAAAGAGCAAGATTTTCTTTGATTGTCAGAATTGTTTACTTTTGTGTAGATGCAATGTTGAAATTTCTATCACACTAGGTTGGAATGTGTTTAATTTTTTAATTATATTTTAATAACATTATTTTGTTTGTTATATTTTGATAACGTTCCATAAATTTTGTCAAGGTGATTAAAAAATCATTTCAAACAACCAAAAGTTCAAGTAACTGCAGATTCAAATAATTGATGAATATTTGCATGAGTGTTAAGGAAAATTCAAGGGAAAGGAAAATTGCTTCAAACATGCAGGAAATTTGCATAAGTGCTAGTTTGAATATGTGGGGGTTTATTGTACTACAAAAAGACAAACGTAAAAATTAAAAAAATTTTGTTATGCAATTTTCATATATAAATTATACATATAATTAAAAGTTCTATAATTTTTAATAAAAAATTATCCAATCTTTATTATGAGTCCTATTTTAAATCTTTACAAAGATTTAAAATGGGACTCGTAATAAAGCAGTAAAAATAAAACAATGTAACAAATAGGGAAGAGTGGGTCATCATGATACATGAAACACTACAAAACATTGTAATTGTGGAGGCATTTTAAGAGCTTCGACAATCATTTTCATATGGTGAAATAGTTACTACTTGAGCTATGTTTTGAAAAAAATATATATCATTTGATATCATTAGGCCTTCAAGGGATTGACTTTTGTATTTTTTTGATGGCAAAGTAATTTATTATTATTTTTCAAAGTCACTAGGTTTTAAGGTAAAATGTACAATTTGTCTATGGGATGTAGTTTACAAAATAACATTATTTTGTAAACAACATCTCATAAGCTCTTTAGTTTATTAAACAAAACATAAAATTAAACAAGATATTACTAAAAACAATGCCACGATTAAGAATGACGTTTAAAAAGATATATTATCTGGATTTCTGAAATATAATTTGGACCATTGAATGCATTGTTTGGGTTACAACAATTAATTTGTTTGTCTTTCAAGTAAAAATCTTTTCTCCAAGTTTAATGCTTTGTGCAGAGGCGTTTACAGGAAATTTTTTGTGTGAGTCCAAAAAAAATATTATGCTCCCCCTCTGCCTCCCTATTTTTTTAAGGTGGGGAAGTTGGACCCAGTTTTGACCGGATTGAGTGTACTTTATAAAAATGTTTTAGTTCTTTGAATGACTTGTAACATTAATAAAATGGTAACTAAAGCTCAAAATAAGATTTTTGCAAACTAAAAAAATTAATTTTTGAAAACACTCAGTTGTCGTAATGTATCATATATACATGTTAAAGTTTTTTACAAGATTTGTGAAAAAAATTTACAAGATGAATACAAGATTTTGCTGTGTAAATTTTTTTATATAACTTTATAAATAACTTTTAATAATAAATAAACTTTATAAATATTTAGAGTCAAAAAAAACTTATTGCAATAACTGTACAATACTAAATGATTTTACAAAGATGTCTGGCTATGAAAATAGCTGTTTAACAAAAAGCAGATAAAACATTTGAAGTTAAAATTTTATCGTATTTGAATTTTATTCAAATCATAACTCATAAGTATTTATAAAAAACTTGAAAAGGTTTGTTGCTTGTAATGTTTTAGTATTATTAGATTAAATTTCATTTTTGAAATTCAGGCAGTTAAGTGAAATTCAACTAAACTTCCCACAAATCAAATTTGAGTAATGAAGCCTTTGGTTTGAAAATAATAAATAAACCTAATAAAGCCTTTGGTTAAACAAGACACTAAAACATATGATTTGGTCTTCCCAACTAGTATAACAAAGCATTGAATTTCTGCAATTGTTTTTAGAAGAAACTGTATATTAGAAAGAAGAAATTAAAACACAGGTGCTTTATAACACTTGAAAATTGTATCAATCAACCAATGTGTTAAACTCAGTAATCTAAATAAAACTCATATAGTCTAGCAAAGAAACAGCGATAACCAAGTTAAAATAATTTGAAATGCAATTTTTAGGCTTGTTAAAGCATATTTGGAGGTGTTGATAAATAATATTTCTAACTATCTACAATAATATTTCTAACCTCTACAATAAACTGTTAATTAAAGAGGAAATAAAACTATGTATTAAAATAAAACGTTTAATTAATAGGAAATAGTTATTGTTACTACAATTTGCTTTCAAAAACTATAGCCAAGTTCTCTTAAGTGTAAACTGTATTTAAATAAGAATCAACTGTAAACCTTTTCTTTACATCCGCAGCTCAAAACTAGCATTCTGCCTCTTTTGTAACCGTAACGATGTAAATTGTAACGATGGTTTGGATCTTTTTACAATTTTTGTTGAAGATCATTTCTCAAGGAGGATCATCCCACCTCATGTATTTTGCTTATTTACTCGGTACAGGGTTAGTCATAGTTTTATTTCCATTTTTTAATTTAATCTTAATTAAAGTTTTAACTAAGTGTATAAAATTAAAAAAAAAGTGTAAAAAAATTTTAACCTTTTTTTTAAAGTTTTGAACTTTTTTCCTAAGTTTTAAAGCGCATTAATAACATGTGCACTATCTTTATTAATAATTTTCCTGACAACTTTATATCTAAAATGGCTCTATTGAGTGACGAATCAACTTTATACTCTTTTCTTGACAAAAAGTTTTTTTTTTCAATCACTTAAAACAGAACTTTCATCTGATCTTACTTCTGTAACACTTTGCGGCTTTAAGTGATATATGAGTTTTAATTCCAACACAACTCAATTTACAACAAACTACTACCGCAATACTGTCGACATTCTGATATTGATGAATGGCCACCCTCTAACTGAGTCCTCTACTTCTCGGATTATCTTTCGCTACTGACTTCCATGGAAACCATATATATAATTGATTGCAAAGTTTGCATCTGCTAAAGTTGTTTCTCTTTATCGTGCTCTCCATGATCTTACTCCTTATTTCATTCTCTTTATCTCTACAAATCTCTTATTCGTCTCTGTACGAAATACTATTTTCATATTTATAAATGGTCAAAAAACACATTGTAAACGTATTTGGGCCTGCTTTATCTGTCAAACATGAGTCTTTTTCGTTGTAAGGTTGTATCTCTTTCTATTTTCTACAAATACCATAGAGGTTGCTGCACAGTGGAACAAAATCGAGTTTTTTGTGCCAAAACTATTTTCGTAGTTTTATTTATTAGAATAGTTATATTTATATATAAAGTGCATAAATAAAGTAATAAACATGTAATTATATAATATATATAAAAATTATATATATATACGAAATATTTTTGATGGACCAGACAACTTTTATTAGTGTAAACATCAAAAATATTATTTTTCGATCAATGTATTTGTCATAAAACAACTTTTTTAGATTTATGTTTTTTATATTTTTTATATTTACAGAACTTATATATAATAACTGTAATGAAAGATTAGGTATTTTTTGTGTACAAAACATCTTTTTTAAATGTTCAGTATTTCTCATCAACTTACCATTAACCGAAAACCAATGTTTTGTTTTAACTTTTTTTATTGCAAAAAATAGCAAAATATTTATAATGCTAGGCTACTTACATACATTTAGCATCAGATTTACATAATCAAATGTTTGAATAATATTGGAAGATGGTTTATAGGATACCTAATAGTAAAGGTTAGTAGCAAAAAAAAAATATCGAAAACTGTGTGTTTTCGATGCAAAAAAACTAAAAATTACGTAAAATTGTTTTTAAAAGTCTGAGCAAAAAAAGCATTAAAATTTTTTAAAATAAAAGTCAATAAGTTAATTTAAAATAATAGTAGCGTAAGAAAGTTGATACATAAAATTCACGTGTAAATAACCCAATAAAATAACGC